TACACAAACAGACCCGGTTTAGTCCTGGTTTAGTCCTGGTTTAGTTCTGGTTTAGTCCTGGTTTAGTCCTGGTTTAGTCCTGGTTTAGTCCTGGTTTAGTTCTGGTTTAGTCCTGGTTTAGTCCTGGTTTAGTTCTGACAGGTGACAGGTGCAGCAAATGTGACAGGTGCAGCAGATGTGACAGGTGCGGCAGGTGCAGACAGGAGCGAGACAAACGGCGCCGCAGCCTGAGCTAAAAATAAACGTCCTCCTCCCACGACTGATGTCACCAACGCATCACTTCCTGTCTGCGCATGAACACTTAACCCCCGAACTGCTGCCCAGACCTGGACCAGGACCTGGACTAGACCAGGACCAGAGACCAGAGACCAGAGACCAGAGACCAGAGACCAGGACCCCAGAGACCAAGACCAGGACCAGAGACCAGAGACCAGAGACCACCAGACCAGACCAGAGACCAGAGACCAGAGACCAGGACCAGAGACCAGGACCAGGGACCAGGACCAGAGAGACCAGGAGACCAGGACCAGACACCAGAGACCAGGACCAGAGACCAGAGACCAGAGACCAGAGACCAGAGACCAGAGACCAGGACCAGGGACCAGGACCTGGACTAGACCAGGACCAGAGACCAGAGACCAGGACCAGAGACCAGAGACCAGAGACCAGAGACCAGAGACCAGAGACCAGAGACCAGAGACCAGGACTAGACCAGGACCAGAGACCAGGACCAAGACCAGGACCAAGACCAGGACTAGACCAGAGACCAGGACCAGAGACCAGAGACCAGGACCAGGACTAGACCAGAGACCAGGACCAGGACCAAAACCAGGACCAGGACCAGACCAGGACCAGACCTGGTTTAGTCCTGGTTTAGTGATTTGTAGTAGTAATAGTGGTAGTAGTAGTATTTGTAGTAATATTAGTATTTGCAGTATTTGTAGTATTAGTAGTATTAGTAGTAGTAGTATTAGTAGTATTTGTAGTATTTGTTGTAGTATTAGTAGTATTTGTAGTATTTGTAGTAGTAGTAGTAGTAAATGTCATTGTAGTAGTAGTAGTAGTATTTGTAGTATTTGTTGTAGTATTACTAGTAGTAGTAGTAGTATTTGTAGTATTTGTAGTATTAGTAGTATTAGTAGTAGTAGTGTTAGTAGTATTTGTAGTATTTGTTGTAGTATTAGTAGTATTTGTAGTAGTAGTAGTAGTAGTAGTAGTAGTAGTAGTAGTAGTAGTAGTAGTAGTAGTAGTAGTAGTTAGTAGTATTTGTAGTATTTGTTGTAGTATTTGTAGTATTAGTAGTATTAGTAGTAGTAGTGTTTGTAGTATTTGTAGTATTAGTAGTAGTAGTAGTAGTATTTGTAGTATTTGTAGTAGTTGTAGTATTTGTAGTATTTGTAGTATTTGTAGTAGTAGTAGTATTTGTAGTATTTGTAGTATTTGTAGTATTTGTAGTAGTAGTAGTTAGTAGTATTTGTAGTAGTTTGTAGTATTTGTAGTATTTGTAGTATTTGTAGTAGTTTGTAGTATTTGTAGTATTTGTAGTAGTATTTGTAGTATTTGTAGTATTTGTAGTAGTTGTAGTAGTAGTAGTAGTAGTTTGTAGTAGTTTGTAGTAGTATTTGTAGTAGTTTGTAGTATTTGTAGTAGTAGTTTGTAGTATTTGTAGTATTTTAGTAGTAGTAGTGTAGTAGTTTGTAGTATTTGTAGTATTTGTAGTAGTTGTAGTAGTAGTAGTATTTGTAGTATTTGTAGTAGTAGTAGTGTAGTAGTTGTAGTAGTTGTAGTATTTGTAGTAGTTTTGTAGTAGTTGTAGTATTTGTAGTATTTGTAGTAGTTTGTAGTAGTTTGTAGTAGTATTGTAGTATTTGTAGTAGTTGTAGTAGTTGTAGTATTTGTAGTATTTGTAGTATTTGTAGTTGTAGTAGTAGTAGTATTTGTAGTATTTGTAGTAGTTGTAGTAGTTGTAGTAGTTTGTAGTATTTGTAGTAGTTGTAGTAGTTGTAGTAGTTGTAGTATTTGTAGTAGTTTGTAGTAGTAGTAGTGTAGTAGTTTGTAGTAGTTGTAGTAGTTTGTAGTAGTTTGTAGTATTGTAGTAGTTTGTAGTAGTTGTAGTAGTAGTTTGTAGTATTTGTAGTATTTGTAGTATTTGTAGTATTTGTAGTATATGTAGTATTTGTAGTAGTTTTAGTAGTAGTAGTAGTAGTATTTGTAGTATTTGTAGTAGTAGTAGTATTTGTAGTATTTGTAGTATTTGTAGTAGTTGTAGTAGTAGTATTTGTAGTATTTGTAGTATTTGTAGTATTTGTAGTAGTTGTAGTAGTTGTAGTATTTGTAGTAGTTTGTAGTAGTTGTAGTAGTAGTAGTTTGTAGTATTTGTAGTAGTTGTAGTAGTTGTAGTATTTGTAGTATTTGTAGTAGTTGTAGTAGTTGTAGTAGTTGTAGTAGTTGTAGTAGTTGTAGTAGTAGTAGTATTTGTAGTAGTTGTAGTAGTTTGTAGTATTTGTAGTATTTGTAGTAGTTTGTAGTAGTTTAGTAGTAGTTGTAGTAGTTGTAGTAGTTGTAGTAGTTGTAGTAGTAGTGTAGTAGTTGTAGTAGTTTGTAGTAGTAGTATTGTAGTAGTTGTAGTAGTTTTGTAGTAGTTTGTAGTGTAGTAGTTTGTAGTAGTTTGTAGTAGTTTGTAGTAGTAGTAGTATTGTAGTATTGTAGTTTAGTAGTAGTTGTAGTAGTTGTAGTAGTTGTAGTAGTAGTAGTTGTAGTAGTTTAGTAGTAGTAGTTGTAGTAGTTTTGTAGTAGTAGTTTTGTAGTAGTTGTAGTAGTTTGTAGTAGTTGTAGTAGTAGTAGTTGTAGTAGTTGTAGTATTTGTAGTATTTGTAGTAGTTTTGTAGTAGTTGTAGTAGTTGTAGTAGTTTGTAGTAGTTTGTAGTAGTTGTAGTAGTTGTAGTAGTTGTAGTAGTTGTAGTAGTTGTAGTAGTTGTAGTATTTGTAGTATTTGTAGTATTTGTAGTATTTGTAGTGACGTTCACATAGTTGCGTTGACTTTTCCTTTTTTGGTCACAGTGTGAGAGCTACTTCCTGTTTACATTCCTCACAGAGACACAGAACCAGGACAGAACCGATTCTAGAGCCGACCTGGACTAGACCTGGACTAGACCTGGACTAGACCTGGACTGGAGACCTAGACCTGGACTAGACCTGGACTAGACCAGGACTAGACCTGGACTAGACCTGGACTAGACCTGGACTAGACCTGGACTAGACCTGACTAGGACTAGACCTGGACTAGACCTAGACCTGGACTAGACCTGGACTAGACCTGGACTAGTCCAGACCTGATTAGTCCAGGTCTAGTCCTGACCTGGTTTAGTCCAGGTTTAGTCCTGGTTTACTTTTGGGGGTTACTTAACTTTAACCAAACACAGGACTAAACTAGGATTAAACCAGGAGAAGATAATAAAAAGTAACAGCACCAGTAGTAGTAGTAGTAGTAGTAATGGTAGTAGTAGTAGTAGTAGTAGTAGTAGTAGTAGTAGTAGTAGTAGTAGTAGTAGTAGTAGTAGTAGCAGTAGTAGTAGTAGTAGTAGTAGTAGTAGTAGTAGTAGTAATCATAGTAGTAGTAGTAGTAGTAGTAGTAGTAGCAGTAGTAGTAGTAGTAGTAGTAGTAGTAGTAGTAGTAGTAGCAGTAGTAGTAGTAGTAGTAGTAGCAGTAGTAGTAGTAGTAGTAGTAGTAGTAGTAGTTAGTAGTAGTAGTAGTAGTAGTATAGTAGTAGTAGTAGTAGTAGTAGTAGTAGTAGTATAGTAGTAGTAGTAGTCAGTAGTAGTAGCAGTAAGTAGTAAGTAGTAGTAGTGTAAGTAGTAGTGCAGTAGTAGTAGTAGTAGTAAGTATAGTAGTAGTGTAGTAGTAGTAGTAGTAGTAGTAGTAGTAGTAGTAGTAGTAGTAGTAGTAGTAGTAGCAGTAGTAGTAGTAGTTAGTGTAGTAGTAGTAGTAGTAGTAGTAGTAGTAGTATAGTAGTAGTAGTAGTAGTAGTAGTAGCTAGTAGTAGTAGTAGTAGTATATAGTTAGCAGTAGTAGTAGTAGTAGTAGTGTAGTAGTAGTAGTAGTAGTAGTAGTAGTAGTAGTAGTAGTAGTAGTAGTAGTAGTAGCAGTAGTAGTAGTAGTAGTAGTAGTAGTAGTAGTAGTAGTAGTAGTAGTAGTAGTAGTAGTAGTAGTAGTAGTAGTAGTAGCAGTAGTAGTAGTAGTAGTAGTAGTAGTAGTAGTAGCAGTAGTAGTAGTAGTAGTAGTAGTAGTAGTAGCAGTAGTAGTAGTAGTAGTAGTAGTAGTAGTAGTAGTAGTAGCAGTAGTAGTAGTAGTAGTAGTAGTAGTAGTAGTAGTAGTAGCAGTAGTAGTAGTAGTAGTAGTAGTAGTAGTAGTAGTAGTAGTAGTAGTAGTAGTAATCATAGTAGTAGTAATAGCAGTGATACATACAGGGTGTGGTACATAACACTGGTTGCTTAGTAGCCAAATATTATTGTTGTGTAGTAGTAGCAGTAGTAGTTTTTGTTGTAGCAGTAGTAGTAATAGTAGTAGTAGTAGTAGTAGTAGTAGTAGTAGTAGTAGTAGTAGAAGTAACGTTATTGTTGTTGTAGTAATAGTAGTAGTAATATTTGCATAGTAGTACTAGTTGTTGTTGTTGTTGTAGCAGTAGTAGTAGTAGTAGTACATCTTATAGTAGTAGTAGTAGTAGTAGTAGTACATCTTATAGTCGTAGTAATAGGAGAAAGGCAAATACTGTTGTTATTTTAGTAGTAGTATCAGTAGTAGTATTGTAGTAGTATCAGTAGTATTTGTAGTAGTATCAGTAGTATTTGTAGTAGTATCAGTAGTATTTGTACTAGTATCAGTAGAAGTTGTTTGTGTTCAGTCAAACCTGTTGATTTTGTTTTGACTCGTTCACAGATTAAATTCTAATTTCTGTTCCACTTCTTCTAAAATAAAATAAAAAACAAAATCAAACCCAGAATTTTATAAAAACTTCACATTTGTTTATTACAAAACTTTACAACATTTAAATATTTACACACATTTAAAAATAGCAGCTTTGAATTGGAGGTATTTGAGATTTGACACACACTTTTCCAGCACCAACAGAGTCCAGAGTCCAGGGTCCGGACCGGGATCCAGGTCCCGGCTCGACGACCCGGAATCCCCCCGCGGCCTCGGTTTGTCGTGAGGTTGCGGGTTCGATTCCCGCACGCGTGACTCATGAGCCGTCGCCTCGAGTCATTTGGCTCTTCGCCGCAAGTAACCAGGAAACAGCGGACGGACCAGTTCCTCCGGAGTTCACCAACTTCCCCCAAACTCTCACGATCGTCACAAACAAGTCCGACATGAAAAAGTCCCGCAAAAACACGCGCTTCGATTCCGCCGAAGCCACGTCGATAAACCGAGAAACCGAAAAACCGACATGACAACTGAGTAAAGCAGCGTTTTAAAACAGCAACATTTCATTTCTACAGGACAAATTCGAGCCTCGGTACATTTTAAGTCGAGTTTTGGTTTAAATAAAAACAGCAGAATGTTGTTGTTGTTGTTTTTTTGAAGCGTAAAAGCGGGATTTTTAAAAGTCTGACAAACAATAGTGCAGAAAAACAACATTTAAACTCGTCATGATCAACTCAAGATCGTGTGAAACGTCGAAAATCGTTGGAAAATCGTTGACGTTTCGTGCGTATCCGGGCACTTTTACGCACACGAGTCCAGTTCGTAATCACCGGTGCCAAAGTCTGTTTTTGTGAACGTAAGTCCGCGTTACGACACGCGCCGTGACTCAGCGGGAGTCACGGTTTCAGACGTGAATCACCGCGAAACTAAGACAGAGTCAGCGCCTCCAAAAAAAAAAAAAAAAAAAGTTTCTTCTTCCTCCTTAAACTTTTTTTTTGTTGTTCTTCTTTTTCTCTCGCGCCGCCATGTTCTTTGGCTCCGGTCCCCGCGCCTTCTCCCCGGGGGCTCCGCGCTCCCAGAGGCCGGGCTGGAGTGCGCTCCGGCCGGGGGGCAGCTCGTCTCTCGGACCGGCCCCGCAGCTGATCCCACGAACAGCCGCTGTGTTTCCGGTCAGCGTGGACGGAGGACACCGGGTTTTTTACTCTTTCAGTCACGTTTGGATCTTAAACTGCGCGTAAATCCGCTCAGAACGCGGGGATGACCCGGTGGTGGAGCAGCGGCAGCGCGCTCAGAGTCTCCGGCACCACGGAGCTCCGGCACAGGCTCTGCCCCTGCGCCGCCGCTTCGTGACGCTCCTCCCCGGGCTCCAGTCTCGCCCTCTTCTCGGGGAGGAAGTCCGGCACCGCGGAGACTTTCCCCGGCCGCTTCCTGGGTCGTTTGGCGGCGGGGCTCTGGTTCTCCTTGTCCTCGGTGTTGTCCGTGATCATCTCGGGTTGTTTTTCTCGTTTCTCCGCCGTGTCCATCGCCTCCATCGCCTCCTCGGTGCTCGGGGACGCGGCGGCGGTGGCGGCGGCTCTCTCCACCAGCGCGGCCGTGGAGTGGTAGATGTCCCGGGCGGACTTCATGACGAGCGACACGAGGAGGCTCCGGTGAAGCCTGAGGCCGCCGCGCTGGCTCCGGGACGCGTACAGTTTACTGATGGACACCGCGAGGATGCGCCGGGCTTCTGCGTTCAGCTCCATCTTTCACTTTTCACCACTTTTCTTTTCTTTTCTTTTTTTAGACACTCGTTCAGACGCCGCGTTTGTCGTCAGAGGAGCCGCGGAGACGTGTGTGCGGTGACGCGCGGTGTGGAGTGAGCGCGGCAGGAGCGGCAGGGCGGTATTTGTACGCGCTGTGACGCACACGCAGGCCCCGCCCCCTCCGCGTAAACTCCGTAAACCCGAGCGCCTCTGGGCACATCTGGGTTCAGCACAACGTGCGCGCGCCTCTTTGATTCATGAATGAGTTATTTTAGGAGCTGTTAAAGGGACATTTATACTTTTACACTTTTATACTTTTATACATTTATACTTTCACGTTTTGCACTTTTACATTTTGCACTTTTATACTTTTACATATTTACATTTTTATACTTTTACATGTTTACATTTTTACACTGTTTTCAGATCCGTGTTCTTTTTTGTTATTACTTTTTTGTGCACATAAGTCAGATGTCACAGAAGAAGAGAAAAAGACACATATAATTATTAGCAATAATGTGACCATCTCCCCTTCCCCATCACCAACGAACATGAGTTTACATTAAACAAAGACCCAGTTTGTCACATTTTGTGATTTTAAATGATAAACACACACACACACACACACACACACACACACACACACACACACACACACACACACACACACACACACACACACACTGCCTAATAGTACATAAATAATAAACAAAATAATAATAAATAAACTTTTATATAGTACACATGTATATATGCACACTCATTACATACACACATATATTCTGCATATACTCATATATATATATATATATATATATATATATATATATATATATATATATATATATATATATATATATATATATATATATGTAATGTACACACATAAAGAAGAACACAGCCTGTCACTGCTGGAATCTAAGTCACTTTACACTTTTTCCTTCTGTTCTGAACATTTACTGTCAGATGTTCTAAAGTTTCTCCACATAAACAAACCTGGACTTGTGTTTGTTTCATTCACATGTTTGAGTAAATCTTTATCATGAGTCTGTTTACATCCGCAAAGCTCCAAACGCTCTGCTCCACCTTGTGATGTCATGAAGTGATACAGGAGATGCTCCACTGCGTTTTTAAACCGCACACCCTGCATATATTCATACATATTTGTGCTTTTTAGTGTGATATTTGTCTAATATTTGTGTATTTTTGTGCAGTTGTGTCATTTTTGTGTACTATTTGTTTAATATGTGTCTAGTATTTGTGTATTTTCTGCGTGATATATGTGTTCCACCTTGTGATGTCATGTGGTGATACAGGAGATGCTCCACTGCGTTTTTAAACTCCACACACTTTCACTAGAATCATTTAAAAAATAATTAAAAATAATCATTCCTCAAACGTGTGAATGAAAAACACAACTCCAGTTCTGTTTTTGAGGATTAGAACATGATTTAAAGATGCACTGTGTCACTTTTCTGATGCAGCGTCGTCACGGAGACCAAACCAGACCAAGTCACAGCTCAGATCTGTGGAGAGGCGACCCCGCTCACCGTCACAACGTTTGCTTTTCGAGGCGTTTTTGACCCTTAAAACCACCTGTGACTGAATAAACGTGAAGTCGAGCTGTTTAAAGTCACACTGCGGAACATTCTAAGCAGAGCAGTGACGTCTCCACGGAAACGACAAACAAGCAGGTGAGGGACTCGCAAAACAACAGGTTTCTCGGGGAGGTGCTCAGCTGGTTTTCATCAGGCTCCGGTTGGATGGAATTTCAGATATTTCAAACCTCCCGACCGTTGTTGTGTTTGGACGTTTGAAAATTCCAAATCTCTTTTTTAAATCCCGGCGGTTTAAACTTTTTTAAATCACTACACACATTTTCTGATCTTAAAATTTACTAAACACTAAATTAAATCTCGTCTTTTACTTCACTGATTTGAAAAGTCACGTCACACAAACAAACGTGGAGCTGAGTTTAGTTTAAAACACAAACTCTGCACATTTACACTCCGTCACATCACTTCTGGGGACCCGTATTTTAAAAGTCATAAACCTTCGTGACCCAAGTCCATAGACATTATTCGTAAATTGCAAAATAAAAGAGGATTTGAGCGTTATTGAACATTCATGAGGATATTTTATTGTTTTCCGAGTGATCGTGTCTCTGAACTTTTAGATTTACTCAAGTTTTAAACGAAGAAAAACATTTGGCATTTGGGTCTTTTTTTACGGAAGCCGAGAGGGGTCGCGACAAACGCAAACGCCGCGACAAATACAAATGCGACAACACGACAAAAAGCCACAACAAACCAAAAAAAGCCACAACAAACCAAAAAAGCCACAACCCAAATGACCACAGGACTCTATTTTAATGCAAACACAAATACAAAATACACAACACATTAAAAAGCCACAACGGAAGTGACCGCAGGACTTTATTTTTCGACGGACCGATCAAGCGGCAAGTGAAGAAGAAGAACTACAACGTGAAATGAATAACGATAAAACATTTAATTACTTTTACTTACGTTTCCAACTTCTCCGTTCCTTTACTTTTCACGTTGTTGTGGCTTTTTAATGTGTTGTGGCTTTTTAATGTGTTGTGGCTTTTGCGTTTGTGTTGTGGTGTTTGTATTTGTTGCGGCGTTTGCATTAAAATAGAGTCCCTCGGTCATTTCCGTTGTGGCTTTTTTTGGTTTGTTGTGGCTTTTTGTTGTGTTGTGGCTTTTGTATTTGTTGTGGCGTTTGCGTTGGTTGTGACCCTCTCGGCTTCCGTACTTTTTACACGAGAACACTTGTGGGTAAAAACGACAAAATATTTGATGAGAAGTGTCTTTCGTTTAGACCAGAAGTATCAAACATACGGTCCGGGGGCCAGATCCGGCCCTCCAAGACCTTTAATCTGGCCCTCGGGTGATTTTCTACTCAAATATTTTAATGATATTTTCTATTTCTATTCTATTTCTATTTTGTATCATTTCTAATCTTTTTCTAATTATTTTATTGATTATTTTGTTCCAATATTGTTGGTTCAAGTGAATGTTGAAAAGAAAAAGAAACGGGCTTCGTTTAAAGTCCAGACAGTCGACTTCTGGATCCTTTTACTGCTGCTTCAAAACTGTTTTGCTTTGTTTAAAACTTGAGTAAATCTAAATGTTCAGAGAAACGATCAACAATAAAATCTCCTGTTTAATGTTCAATAATGAAAAAATACAACTTTATTTTGTCATTTACGAATAATGTTCATGGACTTGGGTCATGAAGGTTTGTGACTTTTAAAATCCCCAGAAAAGAAAAAGTTTTGGAGACACTGTTTTCGACGACGACTTAAAAGCGACAGGAGTTTGTTTGGTAACATGGGATTATTTTGTTTCTGTTTTGGAGACGCTGCAGTGACGTCGTCCTGATCAAAGTTTTACTGTGATTAGAATTATATTGATAAGATAAGATTAGATCAACTTTATGGACCCAAAGGAAAATGTGTGTTGGATTCACACAGTTACCACTCACACAAAGTACAATCACACACAAAGTACAATCACACACAAAGTACAATCACACAACAGTGACAAACATGTGTCCAGTGTTTTTTATGTCCATGATCCAAATGTACAACACACAAAACACACAAAACACACAATGATCAAGTGTCTGAGTTACTGCACAAGACTGATACACAAATAATGATGTATATGTGTTCGGTCAAGTGGTAACGGAGGAAACAGGGTCAGATTTTTGACATTCAAATGTCTCTTATTCAGAAACTAGAGGAACTATTGAAATAAGTAAAGTATCAGAATGTAGGAAAGAGTTACACTCCAACAGGGTCAAGTTAAACCTGTGAGATTCTTTCAAGTTCAAGACAAAAAATTTTAAAAACTCATGTTGGTAACGGAGGGAATGAAATATGCAGCACTTTTTGGTCAATAAATCCAAACAGTGATAACTCTTGGTTCTCACTTCCATATCCTTAACAAACTGGTTTGAATATTTGCTTCATATAGTTTTCTACCATATGGTACAAGATTAGGTTGAAAAACCTCTGACTTTTTGACTCATGAGATTTTTTATTAAAAAAGTTCATGGTAACGGAGGGAAAAGTAACGGAGGGAAAATTGTACAAACAAGTAGAAGGTGCAGGATTTTACATCATTTGTCGCTTTTTTCTTCTGAATACTTTAATATTACTTCAAAATGAAAGAAACTATTTCTATAAAATATGTCAGTCCTTCCAAGAACATTTTTATCATTTTAAATACATTTTTTTTTTTTTTTAAATCCTGTCCCTTCATCAACAGTTCAAAGATGGAATAACACAAGATATGATGAAATACAAACATTTATTTACATGATTTTTGGGTCTTTGAAATTTGGGAAATAATTTTTGTTCCATGTTTCATTCATGGTCTGTTTAAAACAGATGGAACTTTAGAACCAAAAATGGAACAGAAAAAAGGTCAACAGTTTGATAAACTCGAGTACATATGTATCTGTTCAATACATTTTTATATCAGATGAATTCACTTGAAGTTTTGGTCTTGTTGTTTACTTCTGCTTACCGGGACCAGATATGTATTTATATATTTATTTATTTATTTGTGTATTTATTTATTTATATATTTATTAATTAATTAATGTATTTATTTTGAAGAGCAGTGAGGAGGAAACATGGTAGATCTTCTGTGATTTTCTCATCTTTCCTCGTCTTCGTGTTCGTCTTTGTTCCTTTACTGAGTCTTTCTCGTAATCATCTTATCAACACTTTTACGACTTCAAACTGGAACGAGCTCTGACGTAACTCACAGGTTACATCATACTGACCTCTGACCTCTGACCTCGGAGCAGCACCTGAGCCTGAAGAAAAGTAAAGTGGAGCAGTTTAAGGCGGAACAACGACGTCTCCATAGAAACAAGCAGAGTTACACAGTGAAACTTTAAGTGGTTTTGGATCAAGTAGAAGAAAAACTGAAACAAAAAAGTGTCTTTGACCAGACAAAAGTTTATTTAAAACAGATTTATGTTGTTTACGTGAGAGAAAAGGCACAAACAAACACACGAGTATCGTCGATCCACCTTCAAGACGCTTTCAAACATTTGTTTTTACGTCTGTGGACTTTTAAAAACTCCTCCA